AGGATCAAGGGCAGATGGGTCAGGTAGGTCCTCCAGCCTGAGACAAAGAAAGCTGGGGCTTTTATGGCCTTTTGCTAAGGGTGGAGTTTGAGGGGGATGTTGAGAAATATCTGAGGAGCTGATTGGGGCCTTCCCTGAGGTGTCGGGAAAGGTGAAAGTAAATTGCACTTTGGGCTGGGTTGGAGAAGAGGAGGGGAGGTGGTCTCTGGGAAGAGAAGCTGTTGTTTTAAGGCATTCAGTCATATTAGATAACCACCATAATAATTCAGCAATTCATACTAGGGCCAGAACCTATCATTTCCATCTTTTGATTGTTATAAAGGGGGCAACATGTCTTTTAAGACTGTTTTCTGCTGAACGGGGACCATCATCTTGGGCAGCGGGGAGTTGACAGGATGACAGTTCATGCCCATGTAGAAGCTGGTGTCAGGTGTCTCAGAACAAGAAGTTTATCGTTAGTGAAGGCTCACATCAGAGACTTAAGAAACCTTGAAAAAAGTTTAAAAAGATAGCATGTTATGAGTACATATCATCATGATTAAAAGACACAGGAGTGGGACCAGGGAGAGGGCTCAGTAGAATAAGTGCTTCCCTGGCAAGCGCAAGGGTCTGAGTTCAACCCTCGGTTCTGAAAAAGGAAAAAACCAGGAGTGGAAGCAAGAGGGGGGGTCTATGATCTGAATGTGTCATTTTACCATGACCATGTTGAAGAGGAGGAGTATTGATCTTTAGGTTTTTTTTATATCATTGTGAAGAAAGGGAGGTGGGGTCATTTGTAGGACCTCAACACAACTGTACTGAGGGGCCTCATCATAAGTATAGAAGGTGGTGACGGGATTGAGAAATTCGGGTGGAAAATAGTGACAGAAGGATCTTCTATGAACATTAGGTGGATCTGTTGTACATGAGGAGTCATTAGGGCTGGAAGTGACTTATGTGTGATGAGGTTACTAAAGTGATGGGGTGAGTGGACTGTGAAGATTGATTGTCCTAAAGTGAACTTTTTGTCTCTTGTGTTAGCATGACTGCTGTTGTGTGTGGAGACATGGAGTCTATCTCCCAACTGTGTTGTCTATAGTTGTTTAGAAAGGTAGGCTACTGCCTGAAAGGATGGTCTCTTTTTAATTATTTTTTTGTTTTTGGTTTTTTGCTTGTTTGTTTGTTTGTTTTTTGGTGCAGGGTCTCACAATGCAGCTCAAACTCATAGTGATCCTCCTGATTTCTGCCTCCCTAGTGCTGGGATTATAGGGATATACCACCACACCTGGACCCTATTGCCAGCTCAGCATGCCCAGGGGTGGGGCCAGAGCAGTATGTGGTGCCAGGGATCAAGATGGCTCAGTGGAATAAGCACTTCCCTGGCAAGCGCAAGGGCCTGAGTTCAATCCCCAGTTCCAAAAAAAAAAAAAAAAAAAAAAAAAAAAAAAAAAAAACCCTGGCCCCTGCACTTACCTAAGCAAGTGCTTAGTCTGCTGAGCTATACCACCAGTCCTTGGATGGTCTATTTTTATGTCTTTAAATGTCTACTGCACTGTGACCCTGAGAAGTATATAGGGTAAAAGTCAGAGTTGGGTTGGGTAAAGAGAAAGCTGGGCCCCTTAGGAGGGCCTGTTGTAGCTTGTGAAAGGAGGAGTCTATAGGAGTAGCAGGGCCAAGGGGCTCTAACAAGGAACCTTATGATGGTTTATAGAGAGGTTGTGCTAGGGAAGCAAAGTTGAGGACCCAGAGGCAAAAGAAATTAGCTAGACCAAAGAAGGATAAAATTGGTTTATAGGACAAGCACTGTGGGGAGAGAGGTGATAGAGAAATGGAGCTTTTGGATGAGATCTCTCCCCATGAGAGGTATGGAGTAGGTTGGGATCACAAGGAAATTATAAGTGAAGAAAAATGTTTGGAGTCAGCAGGGAATGGGCCTATCTGAAAGGGTTACGTGGGTGAGCCATCAACACCCACTGCAAAGACTGTAGATCTAATATAGTGACTTTAGAACTCAAGAAGAACACTATATGCAGTCTCTGTGACAACAAAAAATGTTTTTTACCTGAGATGTCCAGCGAGACTTGGGACTCTGACAAAGATATCTCAATGTGGGCCATGGACCCCAAGCTCTCTTGTTGCTCTTCAATGGAAAGACCAAGCATGTCAACTATTGATGGATCTGGCTGTAGTGAATTTTCCTGTGAGGGCAGGGAATTGGATGATTTACCTGCTCTCTGGCAGACAGGGCAATCCAGTGACCCTTGAGCTTGTCAGTGGGACCAGGTCCCGGTGGTAGCTGCAGGTTGGGGCAGGCTCATGCCTTGTGTCCTTTTTTGCCACACTTGGCTTGGGTGGCAGCATTATTTAGGCTCAGAATTACTTTGCCAAGGTCCTGTTTGGATAGGAGTCCCAAGTGTTTCAGGCAAAAGTTGGCACTATGTATAGTTAATTTTTTGTCTCTGTTATTAAAGACACAGAAAGTCAAGTTAAATAAGTTTTCCTGTGGGTTTTCAGGGCTAATATTTGTCTTTTTAACTTGGCATGAATGTCAGGAGCAGATAGGGATATAAAATAGGAATTAAGAACAATTGTTTATTTAGGAGAATCTGAAATATATTGCTATATCTAGTTTAGAGCAATATGCTTGATTGCTAGAATTTTACCTGAGTTTGAAGCACCTTAATATATAAAGTATGATTCTCCAGGCCTTCATTGGTGGTGTAGGTTCAGTTCCAAGCCTTCAGAGGGCTGTTGGGCAGGCTGGGGGGGGGGGTACCTGCGCTTGTGGCCCTGCCCCCTTCTACCCTCCTTTGCTGGCATGGGTCGGCACACACCCCTGTGCTGACCTGGAGCCACATCCCAGTGCACGTTGACATTGCAGGCCAGAGGTCTTGCCTACAGGTGTCATTGGCAAGGCCCCCTTGTGTAGCCAAATTCAGCCTCATGGTGGGCTTCAGGGCCAACCAGCAGGGCAGCCACCTGCCCTTCTTTATGCTGGTCATACTCGTTGTAGTCATCATCATCCTTGCCTTCAACTACTGGAGCATCTGCCATATTCTGTTCCAGGAAGAGGTGGCCAAGCTGCAGGCCCAGGTCCAGTGCACTGAGGTGCCCCATGGGCATCTGTAGAAGCACAACTCAGATCTCCTACTCCTGGTGAACACGCACAAAAAACAGATTGACCAGGAGGAGGCCGATAATGACCGCCTCAGTAGCCAGCTGCAGGTCAAGGAGGGCCTGGGAAAGAGATGCAAGAATGACAAGCTTAAACTACAGAACATGTCAGATGGCAGACATACATCATTTAAAGGAGCAACTTGCTAAGTTTTGCCAGGAGTTTCTTCAACAAGAAGACCAGGTTCAGGACTATAGCAAGAACAGCACTTACCTTGTGAAGAGGTTAGAATATGAAAGTTTTCAGTGTGGACAGAAGATCAAGGAATTAAGAGCACAGCATGAAGAAAATATTAAGAAGTTAGCAGATTAGTTTTTGCAAGAACAAAAGCAAGAGGCCCACAAGGTTCAATCAAATTATAGAAAAGAATTGGGGGCCAAGGAGATAACTCAGTGGAATAAATGCTTGCCCGGCAAGTGCAAGATCCTGAGTTTGATCCCTGGTACTA